CACCTGAAGAACAATAATATATTGCCGACCTACTTGACTCAGCTCCGTAAAGATAAATTAACTATAAATTAATTTTACGCTCAAATTATACAAATTTCCGTTTGATCCGGTGATTTCTAGTGCAATGCGTTAAGTCTGCGCGTGAGATAGCATCGTCCACGTGTACAGGCGGAAAGATGGCCAGATAGCACGCAGCTTGGATGCTCCTGATAACAGCGTCTTCAGATCTCGACGGCTGGAATGTGGCCGGCCATTATGTGGCAAACTGGTGACAAAGTGATGGTAACTACCAGTACGAACACGTCTACAACACATACCTGATGTAAACGCAGAGTTCGAGAGTTGGTACTAGCTAGTCACATAAAGATAAATAGGATTAGTTAATATGTGACGGTGAAACTCTTGCATAGCAATGTTTTCAAACTCGGGTCTTAGGTAGGAAGACGTGCCAATTTACCTGTAACCGAATATCTTCTTAGCAAAACCTCCCTGTAGCTAAACTGGAAATAATGTGGCAAAGACCTGTTCTTAGATGATATCCATTTAAATTCATGTAGCAATAATATTATGGGGCAAAGCTCAAAGGTCATCCACAAGTTACGAAGTATGAATACTGACATTTGATTTGCCATTATGGCACCTTTCTCTAAATTCTATGTAGGCACAGTTATCTGAAATCATTGCAGTTTAACATGTTTCGACGTGGTTTCTATGCTAGGTGTAGGTAAATAAGTTTTGTAGCCGTAAGAATGCAAATATCATCAATTACCTGCTTCAGATTGCGATGCGGAACAATAAGCAGTTGTGGAGTAAGAGAAAGGTGCTAATTATGTAATCTGTGATTGTTTCCATCGAGAACAGAGTGAGGGATATCATTTGTATGTCAGCGGCTGTCTGTAATTGCGTCTATCATGTTGTTTAGATATGTTTGATGTTTCTCATGGCTGTTTTCCACCTCGTTTGGCAAGAAACAATGAAGTTTCCTATCTTCCTATTGAATATTCTACTAAGGCTTCTTTGCATCAGTGTTTTAACCCCATGTCAAGTAAGGAAGTGATGCGTTGAGATGGAGTGTTGCTGTATCATAAATCTTTGAGTTATTGGTTTAATGATAACAGCCATCTAAAGAACCAGCAGTAATAAAAGACTTGTTTGTTCGATACGAAGTGATGAAAATCGACTTCACACAAAACAAAACAAATTGCTGATCATTTACAGTAAGTACCTAAAGAAGACAAAAGAAAGTACATGACGAGTGACTTGAGTTGACTGATGTACTTATGAATAAGACGATGGTAACTGTTGAAAAGTGCTTAAATTGGGTACTGACCTATGTCAGAGGTATAATTACGTATTGTAGATTGTTTCACTCGGGCTTGGGAAAACGGAACTTGTTATGAAACATGAGTTATTGTATGATCAGTAGCACTCACTACTAACACTACCTGCTCTACTACCAAAACAACGGAATCTTTTGAAATCGGAACCAACGTAACTTAACGCCATGTTTAATCAAATATTGACAATTCCATCTCTCCATTGGCGTATTGCCACCTCGACTGAGATATGATATAATGCGTACCCATGCCGCACGAAGCCGCCTAGTATGTGGTCGAAGTCGATGGTAAAAGTTGCGTGCGAAAACTGCAATAAAATAGCACACTTAGGTAGTTACTGGAAATATTTAAAAATGATATTGCTTTTCATCTGTCCATTTTATAGACGACGTCTTCGACGTAAGGTCTTAGATTCCGTTTTAGGTTATCACGCGGTTCAACGTCGGGCTACATAAATATAACAGTTGTATTAAATAAAAAGTTAATAAATATACAGTTCATTACCGAACAATGCTCCCGATCTCATAAGCGCTTTACAAAATAAGTAATAAATATTACCGAAAGCGTAGCGGGACATATAAAACGTCTTCATCAGGCACCAATTATCACTGCTACCTCTCCCGTTAAACTTGTAAAATGTTCTCGTTTCTCAGTAATTATCTGACCAGCCTAACTTGGTACCCCTCACCTCGCAACCGCTCACTGCGCGAGGAGAATGCGGGGGCGCTGCGATCGTTTTCAGGGATCAACTTATTTACCTGTTTATTGTAGGCCAACCAAGAAGAGCGTGAAGACGCCGCAATTTCGGTATGTGAGCGATTTAATTAAGAATGTTTAATGTTCACTATTTTAATTTCATTATGCGCTTTCATTTTGGCTTACATGATTCATAGAAATTGCTACTTCCATGCTTGGAAAGCGGAGATATAGTTTACATATACAACATATAAAGAAATTACATACCTACCTATATTTTGCTAAACCTAAGTTTTACACAACAAGTCTCTGTGCACCAGTTATCCGGTTTATACATTCGTTGCAGGCCCGTAACTTCTAGCGTCCATTAATTAAGAGACGATTCGAATGAAAATTAATGAAGTGAGTAGTTCTAATTGATGAAAGCTGTAAATTAAGATTAAAAATTTAATAAAACTATCTCTGAAAGTATTCATCTAATTAAAACAATGTAATTTCCGTTCGATGACTATCATTTTTATTATTCTCGTTCAATCAGGAGAAATTATAATGACAATCGAAAACTTTCTCGATACTTTGCAGACTGATGATGACTAAGTGATAAAGTTTTATTGAAAATATACGTGGATACAAGATGCTGCTCTCTAGCAAGCAATTGTTATTGGAAATCTAGAAACATCGGATTACGAGTAAATATATGGAGGTTAGTATTCATGACTTGCTAGCCACTTCCAGTTTCTCGCGTATTAACACGTCGAGGACACTCATACAATTATAATCCATATAAACATCGAATTTACGATGACAAGCCTCGTTAAACTCCGGAATTAGGAAAGCCGATGGCTTGGTGTCGCGTGCGCCGGCGCACCTCACCGCGGCATTATCATAATTGATGAAAGCAGTAGCGTATCTATTGTAGCACGAGTTTTGTGCGCACACGGCGCTGCGGATTAAGTATCCACTTAATTACCGCAACACTAAGTAAAATTAAGATTTCCGAATAATTAATCAGCTCACAGAGAGTTTCATCTCAAATGCCTCCTGTACCAACAATTTGTAGTAACAGACGTTAGCCCTGGTTTACCGCACATCTTACCATTACCAGGTAGGTATCTCTCCACCTACTAAGTGCTATGTGTAAGAATTAATTTTATCTGTAGATATGTTTCATGGGTTTCATGTGCAACATACATGAGGTACCTTACCCAGATACTGGATTTTCAAGAACTTCCCGTAGAACAGTGTGTGAAAATATTTTTCTGATGTTTCAAATATACTGTAACTCCTTTCGCAGCAATTTGAAAAATATTTGATGAGTAAAAAACCTGTGACTAGTCAACGATACTGCGATAGCATTGGCGGGAAAAAACTAAGTGTAGTCATCCAATATGAATTATGGCCATTTAGGAAAGTGTAGCCGAGGAAATGTCAAGAAAGTGATCTCTAAATATAAATTTAATTAAAGTCTAGCCTCGTAGAACTAAGTTATCTAGTTAAAAAAATTTGTATGCTTTTAGTACTAGAAATACGTCGATTTCGATATTAGTAAAAAAAACCTACACCAAACACAATGGATGTGTTTAGTTTACTGAGTGGAAATATTCCCTAGAAAATACTTCGATAAACTAAATACCTACTTTATTGCAAAAAAATATCTGAGGTCTGACATCTTATTCGTTCCAGCTCCAGCTGTATCTATAGCTAAATATTTATTTTGTGTAGACATTTTGGATTCAGCACATACAATTTGCACAATCCTGGCTGGAATTTAGCGCACTACGAATTTAAACCATCGTAACGCGCTGTATTTTATATGTGACCGCTTGACATTACAGCGAGTATTTATTTTGCATGTTGCACGTGTGTTCGTGCGTTTCCATTGCAATTTATTTCAATTAGTAAGGTGTACTTACTCACTTATCTATTCAGAGCGAATTCTTTGACGCCTCGCGCAGTAAATTAGATAGCTAATTGCACATAATAATCCGCATCGTCGATCAATCGATAATGAAGAATTAACGATACACTGGTATTTTGACGCTAAGCCACAGAATAATGCTAAGCTGCTTAAGTAGTTAGATATCTAGTAATAAAATTTTGTTGAATGTCCGCGTTGATACGCTTTCCTTCCTCTGATATTATGAATGAAGTAGCTTACAGAATAGGATTAGGATTTTTCCAAGTAAAATTTTTAATTAAGTACTCTAGAAAAGTTGATAAGCAGGACTTGCCAACTTTTATAGAGTACCTATTTATATAATCATGTCCAAAATGCCTTTGACACGCCCTTTTATTTATGAGATTCGTACGGTACAATAAATTAATCTTATTCAAACGTAAGTACCTACCTAGATACTAATTACCTTAAAATAAACGTTTACTGTAGATATCTACTTACTTAATATACTATCAAAGCAAAGAATTTATTTTGTTTAAAAATTACACTTTGTCTAAATTTTCCTAAAGAATTGTGAGAGGACGCCGCTGAGCGGAACGGGATCCTAATTAAATTATCTGGAGCATAACATGCGCACGTATTTTATGCTTCATATTTTTTTCTGGGCGTTATCTAAAACCAGCAATTTTGTTGACTACAAAAAGTAGGATATAGTTGACTAAACTGCTCATTACCCCATAGTTGGAAAATTAATCAAATGTGACGTACTGTACACATCTATTTACACAATCATGCTATATCCATTTATGGCATTTTGTCTCGAAGTACCTACCTAAGAACTTCGTTTGTTCTTACTTAGTAAATTAAATTATGTTATCACTCTACGTCATACAAATAATTTAATGTATTTAATTTTTCTTAAATATATCTATATATTTCCAAACAAAAATAAATAAAGCTGATTTGTTTATTTCCTTCTCTTCATTTCAGAACGTTTAATATTATGTCAATGAACTGATAGTGTCTGTCAGATATATGATTTTGACTTTGACAATTGACATATTAGGAAAAGAGGTTATTGGTCTAAGATTTTCGATATTTCAGTAAATAATGTATTAAATATTAACTTCATAGCACCAGCACTGAATGATAAGTGGTTATAAAGTAAATTTAAATCATGGCTTTTGCATCGTTACGTTTTAATTTCCTGCAGAAAGTGGTGCAAACCGCAACCTACACTACCCTGCTGAAGAGGCCTATGGCATATAAAAGTTCAATTTCTTTAGAAACATTGTACCCTAATAGCTCCTTGAAGCTCACAACACCTGCATTTGTAAGTATTCTATACATTTAGTGATAGTTTTGGAGATAATTGGAATTAATTCTATTCATAGGTATTTGTTCTATTTTTATTTTACAGCAGCCAGACACCAATGAGAAGTTCTCTGGCTTCATTCCTATCGACAAACTAGATATTACATACAGCGCTAGCTCGGGACCTGGAGGACAGAATGTCAACAAGGTAATTTAGTTGATACAGCTTAATAAATTAATATTTTGATGTACATATTAAAAATATAGTTAATGTAAATTTATTTCATTTATTATAATTGAATTTCTTTATAACTTTATTTCCAGGTGCACACCAAGGTTGATGTGCGATTTAAGCCAAGTGAAGCAGACTGGCTTCACCTGACATCAAAGCTAAATTAATGGAACAGGTAATTAATAATAAAATGATTTATTGATGCTCATTGCTATCTATAAGTTTTATCAAATAAGTTAAGGTTCCTTAGCAAATGTTAATCATTGAGTTACAAATACTTAGTAAATGTGTATAATGATCTCTTTCCAGTTTGCCAACAAGCTATCGAAGGAAGGCTACCTAATCATCAGGTCGGACACCACCAGGTCACAACAGTTGAACTTGGCGGACTGTATGCAAAAGCTTCGGAAAATTATCCGTGAAGCAGCTGTCACCAAGCGGGAACCTGCTCCTGAAACTGTAGAGAGGATTAGACAGAGGTAAGTTATGGTCAACTGATCTATTGCAATAAGATCATAAAGGTGATCTGTCTCCTCGATTGCCTCCTATTCCATAAAAAAGGTACTTGTAAGACAAACAAAATTTAAAATATGCCATCTATTAGCCCTCCAATGAAGATATATACATAGTTCTTTTTAAAAGATGATTAGTCATTGAAAGGAAGATAGTTGTTATGTTTCAAATAGTGTAATTTAATTTTTTTCCAGACATCTGAAAGCGGCGCGCATGCGTGTTGCAGTCAAACGCGAGGAATCCCTGAAGCGCGCTATGCGGCAGTCGCCCACTATAGACTTATGATTTTTCTATTAAATTGGGCATGCACGGCTTGCACATGTGCTGAACTCTGGGATACTTACAAACTAATAAAGAAGTTTAAGTACCTGTCAACGTCATTATTTGATAAACTGTTGCTAAAAATATTAACTTTTACAGTCTGTCAAATATGAAGTTAGAACAGTAATCTCAGAAGTTCAGTCGGCCGTAAAGTTTGACTGTTTTATAGTTACTTCTTAATATAATATAGTTGTTTAGTTACCTGTGTCTTTATTTACTTATTACATAACTTTGAAATATAAAAGAAACATTTAAATTGCTGTCTTGGCGTCTCGTCGCGGTTTTTAGGCGCCTGATATAATTTTGGAGCAAATTGTACAAAGAATCTTATCTTAATTTTGTCCACAGGAACTTAGCAACTGTAATCATGTTAACGTATGGAGAACTATTTGAACAGTCAAACAACATTTATACGATGTTAATAAAACGTATAAATGTTTCGTATGCCCAATTTAATATTGGAATAATAAAAATGAAATTGTAACTGTATCTTAGATTTTACATTAGGTCAGTGTATAATGTAACCGACCGTAGTTTACTAGTTTAGTAATAAAGAAGTACTAGTGTGTTATATAGGTAGTTGTAGGAACTGTTTATACCTAGATACAGTCAATAAAACTTAATAATAATATTTGTCGTACTTATACTGTGTGTAGTTGTAGTTATTATAATGTGTGTTGAAATAATAAATTTTAGAAGGGTAGATAATTCTATCTAATTGTAAATGTGGTTTCATTTCGTTGATTTCAATATCTTTCAAAACCTTTCCTCATCATTTCTACACTTTGTTTATGATTTAGATAGGCCGGTAAACCAAAAAAACGCTCTGGTAGTCTTTGATTGTCGTGACGCCGTTGTCATAGCAACACAGAAAAATAAACAAAGCATTTTATTTGACGAAGTTGTAAAACTGAAGAATTTATAAACGCCAAAATTTATTTTCGATTATGTCTTATAGAGATTTGAGGAGTACGTATAAATATTATAATTATGGAATAAAATATGGAGTAATTGGAAGTTTTCAAGTGGTTGAACTTTGTTTTAAGATTTTAGTGAAGCCATGCGAGTGCTTGGTTTCCCGAAGCCGATCTCCTTGGAGAGCTTCAGGACTCCAAACTGGGACCTGATGGAGGAGTGTCTGCGGTGGCTGGCAGCCAGGGTGGAACCTGACGCGGAGCTGGGAGGGGGCAAGCAGACTGTGGAGCAACGGGTAGCACTCGTCACACATGCTATTGCGCTATTCGTAAGTTTAAGTTTGACTGATTTACTGTTGTTTGTGGTGTGACATTAGTCTTCTTTATTTGCTTGGGAGCATGTTCTCAAAATGTTTATGGGGTTCAAGGTATGAAGGGTAGCTAAAATCATTCAGACAGCTACCGTATTGCACGCCTTTTATTTCCGAAAGGGAATGAAAAGATACACATACTAACTACCTAGATGCACCAACCATATTATCCCATATTGAATGTAGGATCATGCCTAATATTTATAAATTTGTATCTATTGCCCCAGCACTCACGCGCCAACATAAAGCTGAACGGCAAGCGAGTGTACGGCGCGGACGGGTGGGCGGTGCGCGAGCTGATGAAGGTGGCCGCCATGTTGCGCGCCGCGCTCGATACTCCCGCCTCGGACGAGCACCACCACGACACCTCGCCGCTCAGCTACGACTTCACCAGCAGGGTGACTATATACTATGATAATGTCTCGTATAGTATCTAATGGAGTAAGAAAAAAAAACAGTATCTACCTATTGTGTTTAATTAGAATTTCTTCAATATCTTTACGACACTCAAATCTATCGACGAGTTTCATAACAAAATGTTGCATTCTGTTTTCAGTTGAGTGAAATCAAACAAGCTCGCGCTCTGGCGACAGATATAACTGCTCAGGGCGCCTTCCTGTATGATCTGCTGGCTAAGGAGGCAGAGAATAAGTAGGTATCAGGATAAGGATAACTGACAATATCATTTTACGGGGCGTGTACCTCTTCAACGTGTAACGAATCTCTTCTTTCTCTTTGTTTCTGAGACAGCAGCCCTAGGGCTATTATTGTAATTTACTACATTATTTAAGTTATCCGATTTAGAACGGGTTCGCTCAAACTGTTGTGGTTCTTTCTTCAAAAGGCCACTACAGAAAGAACTTGCACGGTTCTCATGATCATAATCTTTTATACACATTTGTCTGGACTTTAAAAGAAATGTAATATATATGTATAGCTATATTATTGAATAATTACCTTTTTATTTATTTTTTCCTCTCTCTCTCTTTGCTGTTAGTTTATTCTCCGTACCTTATTTTTCGCAGATTTTCTATTTAAACCCTAAGGTTGACTGGTAGAGAATGCCATATGGCATTAAGTCCGCCTTATGTGCCATATTAAAATTGTGTACATTAAAGATTAAATAAATAAAAAAAAGAGACAGACCTCTGAGTTTGTTTCGGCATTTCTTCTCAGAGTAGTCAGTTAGGAAATGTCGGCCTCATCGTTCGCTTGATAAAATTGACGCGTAAAAGTGCTGCCTTGTAGCCTATTGGCAGAAATAAATTCACTTGTTTCACTACTGTGCAATGTATCCTATTCGGCAGTGGCGCCATCTAGACAGCGCAAAAATGTATTATTGTATGTAGGAGCAACGCGAGCAGGCGTTGTCCCGTCCGCTGGACATGTCCGGCATGGAGGGCAGCCTGCGGCGCGCGCTGGAGGCGGTGGCGGCGCAGGTGGCGGCCGCGCGCGACCACATCGACAACGTCGCCGCCAGCGAGGCCGCGCTCGACGCCAAGCTCGAGCGCAAGCGCGCTGAGCTCGTCCGCGCTGAGAAGCGCCTGCATACTGTGCAGAAGATCAAGTAACGCGGGCCACATTACATGCTCTCTCCTGTCACTACTGTATTGTTGAGGACTTAAGTGCTTGATAAGCAACACGTTAATTTAGATCATCACTTGCCTATCATTTCCTGAACACTTTTGAAATGGTCCATGTGAACACGTATATAGGGAACTTATTGCCATTACACTAAGCACATTTTTAGACTCGATGCTAAAATATATCTATCACTCATTTATTTAATAGCACTTTGCCCTACTTGTTAATGGAACCTGAGACTCTTTCTTGGGACTTTAATAAGTAAATTCGTACTTATCGTCCTGGTGGTTAGGCCCGCGTACCAGGGCGAGCTGACGGCGCTGGAGACCGAGATCGAGCAGCTGTGGGAGCAGTACGTGCTGCGCTACCGCTGCGTGGAGGCGCTCAAACACCAGCTCAGCGTGCTCGAGAGCGCGCAGGCAGAGGTTACACTACATTTCCCATAATTATACCACATGGTTATTTACACTCAGTATAATTCAAATCTATACGGATAATAAAATTTCGGACCTGGGTACTTCCAGAAACTCTGACGAAAAATTGCAGTTGCTTTCTCAAAACTTTAGGTAACGAGCTGTCTCCAAGCTGCCTGTCCTTATATTACATGTATTTGATGATTGCTCGCATATTAATCTGGTTATATATAATTATCAGGCGGCTGAAGAGCAGCAGGCTGCCATTATGCAGCTCATTCACAAGTACGAGGCGGAGGATGTGCTCGGGAAACTCAGTGACTCGGGTAAATGATTCCCACACCCATTATGATTGATTTATACTTACTTAATATTTTAATACGACGAGTCATTAACTCTCCATCGATTTAAAGAAATGAAATAATGTCTTGACTATAGATGATCCGGAGTCTAGTGACGACGGCAAGGATATAAGTGAGGTGAAGCAGCCGAGACCGGCTACTCGACCCAAGACACGGCTGAGGATCAAAACTGCAGGTAATCTACAGTGTACTTACTTTCTTTAGTCTTACTAACTTTACCAGACGAGATAGTGATTCTGGTTAAGTGCCTCTGAACCGATGCGAATAAAAAAATATAGGAAAAACTACTACGTCTGCACACCCGATGAGTTTGAGTCTTAACCAAATTCGACTGAATGCCAGTATTACACGGAGCGACTGCGATCTCTCCACCAGAACAGATAACAAAGTTATTTTATCCAGCCATTACAACTGTCGTAGATGACAATATATAACCACTCTCCCCCCCCCTCCCCCTAATTGGCCGGCAACGCACTTGTATCTCCTCTAGCGTCTACAAGCGACGCCGATTGATCAGGAAGTGATCCGGTAGCTTATTTGCCGCCATATCCGATAAGATGAGAATATGACATATGACATCTTCTTTGCCCTCTTAGGCACGGTGGCGGCGGAGGCCCGGCGAGCCTTCGGCAGTATGGCGGCGCGGGACTCACTGGACGACATCCGCGACGAGGACGACTCGCGCTCCGACTCCGACTTCTCAGACAAGCAGGCCTACGGGGACCTCTCCATCTCCAGTCAGTTACTCACATACATTGTCACACACCAACCAATCATAGGCCATGTTATTTACATTGAACAAAAATTTTGATTAAGCTTGTAATTATACCTATTTTTTATTTTAAGAAATTTATTGCCTCTGCAGCTCCGCTTGAAAGGTTTTACCATATCGACAGTTGTTCATTTGCCTGTTTACTTTAAATAAAAGTTTTTAGTTATTAAGCATGCATACAGCCTGCAACCCGTAGTTCATACTTGTCGCTCAGCTTGCGCATGGCAGTAGCGGACAGCAATACAAATGGGCGCAGTATTGAAATTGAAGACAGTATTGTAGGAAATTGCAAAATTGCAGTGGATGAAGGATTGCAGCGGGCAATAGAGCCCTGGGTGGAGTGGTGCTGTAGGTCCAGTGTATGTTGGACTATGAGTCGCTGTCAGTATGTTTGTCCGCTGCAGGGAAGGGCGCGGCGGGGGCGGACGCGCGCGGGCCGTCGGCCGCCACCTCGCTCGGTGCGTGCCACTGCACTGCTTGCACTGCTCTCACTCATACAAACTCCATTACATACACGCTACGGCGACTATACACTGGTGCCGTAAGGTAACTGCCAACAGACGGGGGTAAGTTCCCTTGCATGTTTATTGTCAAGAGAGGAGAAAACGGAAGAAAAGACGAGAGTCTGTTGATGGACAATAAGACTGGTATCATCGTTCTCATCTAATGATATTTGTTTTTTTTGCAATTAATCTTTAATTTGCTGAGGCATGCATGAGTGCATATCACATGTCAGGATGGATAGCTATTCAAACCAATTTGGCATTCACTATTATTTGGAAACAAGTTTGTATTAAGATGCGTTTCAGAAATAGTTGAGAGTACCGTGTTGATATAGTTCCACACATGTAGGTGGCGGCGACATGCCGTCCCGCTGGTCGCGCGCCCGCCCGCGGCCCGCCACGCGCACGCTGGCGGCGGCCGACGACGACGACTTTGCTGATCTCATTGAAGGTTCGTTCAATCCCCTACAAAGATTTGAGTAATTAATGTTTTACTCATTCTAATTGTTCCCATAAAGGGGAGGTTTTCGTCTGTAACTGACAACCAGTTTCATGTCTCAGTGCGAAGATATAATTATGAAGATTTGAGCACATGTCAGTCTCTTTCGTGCCATTTTCTTGAGCGAATATGTGAAAGTACTGACGGTAGTGTATGGTGTAGGGGTGGAGAGTGGCGAGGCGGGGGACTCGCTGGGCAGTAGCTCTGAGAGCGAGCTGCGCGTGGCGAGCGCGCGCGGCAGCGGCCGCCCGGCGCGCCCCAGTGCGCAGCCCGCGCGCGCCTCCGCGCTCAGCGACAACGAGTTCTAGGCGATACATCACAGCGACACATCAATTACCTACGGCCAAAATTAATAGCTGAACTCAATTGAATTGATGTGTCACCATAGATATAATGAAGAAGTGTGTCACTGATGTCCTGGATTTTTATGGGTTCTGTCAAAAACGTAGGCAAATCCAGAGCTCTTGCATTGAGGTCGGCTTTTAATTTCGATTAACTACACTTGTATGTTTAGTACGCTTTCGTTTATTTGTGTTGTAATAAACGTTTCAAATTGCTACTAGGTACTTATTTTTCATTCGACTAGTATAACAATTTAAACGATTACAATAAATTTTTAAAATGGTGATCGTAACAAGGTTGTTGCAGTATTTTAGAATACCTAATACAAACTGCCGACAAGAGCCAATAAATGACTATGAAATGAAACAGCGTTGTTATATAAAAAGTAATGTTTATTCGTCGCATCCCCCAAGCAATATCCATTCATAATAAATAACCCTTCCTAGCCAACAGTTTGAGACAGACAGGCAGTCACAAGACACAATACTCCCTCATCCCGTAGACTTAGCTTAACGTACAACATAGTATGATACATCTCATTGTGAGCTTATTTACACATAGGTATATATTACAGTCTCTAAGTATTTGTGTTACAAAGAATAAGTACAAAACATATCTAGATTAATGTCTAAACGAGCTTACATCTAGTTTACGTATGGTCTGGATACCGTAAGATTTTACAAAAAGAATTTAAACAAAACTTCAATCAACTCATGGACCGTTGTGGTCTATAATAAGTTTTCTTTAGAACTGGATAAAATTAGACAAGTTATATAAAACAAAGGGCTCTTTTCCTGTCGTAACTGCTCCCTTATGGACCTTAGGAAAAGGACCCTTAATTAGTTGAAAAACATAAAAAAATACACTATGAAATATTTATAAATAGCTTAATAGAATATAAAATAAATGTAAGTATCTAATTACTTAACAATCAACCAATAACATGGAAATATTGAGCAACAATTTGGATGTTAGTATTTATTTAAACCAATCGTAGGGTTCGCAATTTGGCACCGTTTAGGTACATAGGACTTTGACAATATATGTACAAACGTATACTCGACATTATATCTACATTGTGTAATAACTAAACTTACTTGTGAAGTATTTCTCACGTTTATTGGGATCATCGGAACAGACGATACAATTTCATAAATGTTTATGAGAAATAATTCACGTAGAATAAGTTCGCCTGTTCGCGTCCACCCACTAGTTCGCGCCCATGTTAAGGAACACCCTTTAAAAACTCCCGGCAATAAGAAAGCTATCACTATATAAGTAGAATTTAGTACACATCTGTTTGATCTTTTCACCTTTACATTCATGGAGATCCGTATAATGGATGCAAACTGGTGGGTGGACGCGAACAGGCAAACTTATAGTATAATGACTAAGAGCTAGATAAATAAGACTTAAAGTAGAATATAACACAGATATTTGACGATACGTACAAGTTTACAATTCATTAGTAAAGTGTTAGTAAAATATTAGTTCTCTAAGACGAAGGATTGATGACACAATGTGGAACAATGAAGCGAATGATTCCAGTGTTGATGAGAGATGACGATTGATTCAAGGGAAACATGTTTTACCTAATTATTTGGTAGTAATAAGTATCGAAAATAGTGATTGTCTAACTAGACCGTCGCTATTTTAATTCTTAATGCAAGTGTTTAACAATGGAGCCGCGAACCTAGCAGGTTACCGGGGCTCCGGCTCGACGTGCAGGAGTAGGAACGGGGTGGTTTTTAGTCAGTAAGAGTCTGACACTCCCTCCCGCCTCACCTAGGCGGGAGAAGTCATTCGATGATTTTCCCCCCTTAAAAAAAGTGTTTAACAATACATTTGAGTACTAAGCATGGTGCGGGTAGTGCCGGTGTAGCATGTTGTTCAGACAGATTAGATATTGTTCTCTCTATCCTACATTATATTGTGTAAGTCTGTGTTGACTATCAAAAAGTGAGAAGAATGAATGACAAAAGATGAATGTATCATAAATTCGTATGTTACTTAAAGTTAGTAAAGTATTTACAGTTTAACTTAACGTATTGCGACCTTACTAAGCTAAAGTTGTTAAGTTTGGTATGATATGCTTAGACAGTTAGTTCACTAAACTAAGAGTATTATATGAATCTCTTATTGACTATCGTAATAATGCTCGTATTCATTTACATGTTCGTATTTCATTCAGTTCACCGAAATCTGACAGGCTTGTATTTTTACAGCGAAAGAAGTTTAATGTTGACTCAAGTGTAGTAGAGATGTTATGGAGTTCCGAAACTGTCGGATATCCCGAAATAATGTTATATCGGTGTCTGAAACCGACCGACATGATGGTAGTCGTACACCCGTAACACCCCTGCTATGTGTGACGTAGTGTAGTACAGTTAGGCGAGGTCGTGGTGTGAGTGGCTGGTGTCGCTGGTGGCGGAGGTGCTCGCCAGCGAGTCGTGCTGCTCCGCCGCGTGCCGGCTCTCGTCACATACTGCTATGAACTGCTCCGCGTAGGCCCTGCAACATATTACGTCATATGTTCATACAAGTATCGTATAGGTCCAGATGTTGGCTGCAGCAGTTGCGGCTGGGTCTAATCCCAAAGTTGTCGACACGTAGCCCAAAGGATTAGCCACCTAAACTGCTAACGCAAATACTCTTTAGGAGCGCGGCGTAACATAGAATGCCTTCCAACTATGTGGCTGGCAGTAGTTGATACGTAAACCTGACGATCCAGCTAAGTGACGTATATGTAAGGAGGTTTATATTTAGTAATGTGTAGTAATGATCGGTGTTACCTATCAAGACCGGTGTAGGTTCGCTTGAGGTCTGCGTCGGTGATATGGTCGCGGTCAGCGCGCCGCTTGCGGTGGATCCTCTCCAGCGAGCGCGCCAGCTGCGAGTCGCGCTCACGACCCTCGCGACGACGCCGCTCCGTGGTCGCGCGCGGCGATCTACGACGGCGCATGCGCTGCAACAACACATTTCCATGTAAATGGGCACATAAGAGCTTTATTATAAGTCTTTATTAATGGTATGGAATACTCACAGCATCATGTACAGGGTAGTAGACGGGGCCGGGCGCATAGGTGGCGGGCGGCAGCGGCAGCGTGGCGTACCGCGGCGGCATCACCACGCACGCGGCGGGCACACGCCCCAGCTGTAGCAACACAAACAACATCCAGTCAATAAAGGTCTGATGAACATAGAAATTCGCGGATATTGGGACTAGCTTGTCACATTGCACTAACTTAAATATAAGTCCTGTAAGCTAGGGTCTATATTAGCGCTCAACCAATAAAGCACTCGAACAAATTCGATATAAACCAGCTGCATACGGGAACTAAATTCAACATATTTAGATGCATACCTTAATGTGTTATTGCTACGGGAACTTTGTTACGGAATTTTGCACCTAAATGTGTTGGATTTGGATCCCGATACAAAATTAATCAGAAGACGTCATTGGACGGACTAGAACTCATAATGAACGCTTATACGCTTAATAAAAATAAGTATCTTAGCATCTAAAAAGCTGCAGTGACTGAGTAACTCAAGGTTTACACATTGGGCCAAAGATTTTTCTATTCTTATTTACCATCATATCAATGACTTGCAAGAACATGACCCACTTCATACCAGTAACGGATCACTGAACAGTGACTACAAATAAGGCACAATAAGTAAAGTATTGTAACCAATACGCCTAACTCTAGGGTCAGGCACAACAACAATCGCTCACAATGCGCTCTTCAACTCAAAGACATGCTTTGTGCCTCCATACAAACTTGGAGAACAGGGCTGTCGGAGGTATGCAGCTACTGACAGACTCTTTGAAAAGAATTCTTGACCTTAATACATTTAGTTAAACTGTACTTGGATCAGATGTGTATGAACATATTTAACAGTTAGTTTAGATTTTCAAACCATTTACCTAAATTATGTTTGTAAAATCATATAAAATGAGTGAACGCTTATCAATGTCTTATAGACGAGGACGAGACATTTGAGAAAAAAGCTGGACTAGAGTCTAGCCCCGCTCGAGCGATACTTAGAAGCCTGTATACTAAATTCATGCTAGTGCTGTGCTATGAATTTTGAAATTATCTCTTTTTTACTTTGCATTTCCAATTTTGACTTATTGAAAAGTCTATCAGCCCTGGTGTTACTGCTTACATTGGCTTACATGTAAGACAATAGTCCACAATATGTGTGCCAGCTCTCTTCCTAAACCAGTGACACACTGTAGTCGCTGAATTATTCACAGCGTGCGCGTGCGCCGCTGCTGGAACCGACAATATCCTATTGTGCTAGATTTTCTTCTCACGTGCGTATCCTCGCACTGTTTGAGGAAACCATGTGGAACACTTACAGAGTAACCTGTCAGTATCAGATATTTGATAACGTTGATAAGTTAATTAGATAGGAGTACCAAAGCTTCGCATTTAAACTTTTTATAAATAACAATTCACTGATTCCAGACACAGTTTGCATTGTATTGCACATCAAGTAATAGAAACTTCACGACAATAACAATAAAACTATCGCAGTTAAATTAAATACTTATGGTAGAGAACTAACAAGTGTTAACGTTTCCAGAATTGCGACTTTCACAAAACCGGTAGATAATTTCCGTGATCCGTAGTTTCACATGTAGTAATGTGATATTGTTGGTGTTAGTCGCCGTAAACGTGCGAGATAAAGCAAAGAAACCTTTACGTTTCCATAAAAGAATGGAGCAAAGTCTCGGCGAGTGGCCATTACTGGTGTTGCAGCATTAATTCCTCGTCGCCGTCGCACAGATACTTATCGCTTAGATAATGTTTTTTCTAACAAGTAACGAGTAACCGCAGGACCGGAATGCGGGCGGCCTCAACTGCCTGCTCGTAAACATATGGATTACTTTTACCAGCACCGCAGCGCAGTACCAAACATAACGTAGTAAACAACGTGCTTCTAGAAAACTTGCTCAAAGTACTTGTTTTCCTACATTTTCACTTCTTCAAAGGCAAATCCTTGGCAGGTCGTTAAAGATTTTAACACACGTAGTAGTTAGCAGTTGTATTAGAAACGAATACGTTTGAAGCCAATCAGTAAACATTTTATAAAGTACATCAATCATCAATCAAAGTTACATCTAGGTCGTAGTTCTAACATCCTTTTTTAACGTTCATCTAACATGTTATATTACCCTACCTCGCCAACTGTTTGACACCTTTACAAGTTCCATATTTTACCGTAATTGGCTTGTCTCAGTGATCGGAGGCAGTAACAGCAAATTAATGAAAAATATAGATGTTCAGTTCAGTTAGTAGCAGATACGTGGAGGTTTCAGAGGTCACTTGATAAATCGCCACTAGTTTTACGATGGCCTTTGGCATATTTATTGCGCGCAATCCTTCAGGTAGCGTCTAGTTAAGTAGAATTTATTATTTTTACTATTTCATCAAGTCATTTGGTACTAGAAGTCAACCAATAATCAGTCCAATTCCTAACATTTATAAAATGGGATACAGATCTATCTACGCTTTGAATCAAAGTGTGCAAGGATTTAATCGGAAAATGCAAACCTTTGAATTAAAAACGAATCTCACTTTGAACAAAAGCATAGCAGGTAAGCGATAGAAGTAGATACATGGTGCCACTGCCATGTGGCTCCCACGGCGTGAAACCAATCCTCCTTGATACATTTGCAGACATACCAGTGAGACTAGATCATTATATTCTGCATCATTTACATAATCATTTTGTGACAATACATAACTCCTGCTACAATTAACAATGCAGTCTTTGTGTCTATGACTGGATCATATTTCCGCCTAAGGTGGCATTCTCTTACTTCTGATTGGATGATGGTTTTATGGCAAAGATTAGAAGGGCTTGTTTATTGAGCTTTTCATTATCTCTCATCTGCGTTATATCTCTCATTGGCGTTAAAACCTTTTCGTAGGGTTAGGGTGCAGTTTTTTTATCCCATAACACCTAATCTTCTTTCGCCACAGTTCATGGTTAGATTGTTTAGTACTCACCACCTAGCCATTGCTTGTAATTTCCAGAACATTATGGAAAGCAAGTGTTCGTGTTTGGTTCTCATTGAGCGCAACCTTGCGACAAGTGCGTACGCGCACCTAGTTGCTAGACCGGTCCCATTGTGAGGCGTGATCGCAATCTGCGCGGGCGCCGATTGTTGTACTAGTGTTTGTTTACACTCTGGTACAGATTGCTTGATCTGTGGTGGCCTTTACTAATGCTTTTTATCCTTTTTGATGATTCGCCAGAAGACGTTCCGTTAGTTTTCTGTATGCTCAAGAGAGATAACTTCGTTGTGTATACTCAGCTCTACTATAATGTTTTGACCATACTCGATTAATTTAATAAAGTGGGTTGGTTACAGGCCAATATTTTTCGTAATTCAATAGAAATTCTAATGAACACGGATGGTAAAACTCGGTGTAGTAGAGTATCAGATATCTAAACTAACCTGTCGACACCTCATAACCGTAAACATGTCCAAACAAACAAGTCAAGAAAGAAGAACAATAAACGGTGATCATAATATTCAAACATCTAACACAAATTAGTTGTCTCCAACTTTCTTTTCACTTTTATCGGAGTCCCTCCAAACTCGTGCCGCAGTCCACAATCATGTGAAAAGTGAACGTCGTCACAAGGTCACAGAGTGATGATCTCCTCGTATACTGTACTTGGTACTGGTATAATGGTTAGCGGGTCAGTGTCCCACGTCCCGAGCTCACAGAATTATAATTACCGATGCGTTTCTGACATTGTTTTGCAAAGAATTTGTGTGTTTTGGAAACGTGCGCCTTACTTTTGTTTAAAACGAAAGCTTTGAGAAATGTGAGACGCTTGTTGCGGCGGCGAGACACGTGTTCTTACTGGGTTAATAGATAGGTCTTAGGTGTCTGCTTGTACGGACTATTTATCTTTATCTTTCAGAATTTGTGGAGAGCACGATCATTAAGATGTGAATGTACAGTGATTTCATAGTGCACTTGTCGCTTGTAAAGTAATAAATTAAGCTCTTAAAAGTACTCAGATTAGCCAAGTCTCGCTGTTCCTGTTCTAAACAATATCCAGTACATTGGATGCGACTTACAAAGTAGTCACAGGTACGTGAGTTCAAGCGAGTACAACTAGGTACATGTAAGTGGTACTGAGGTATCAAACATTGCAACGTTGTGTTTTGCAAGGTAGTGCACGTACGCGGCCGACCTGAACACACTCAATAGGCAATTTGTAGGTAAACTGCAAGTAACGTCGGCTTCTAAATGTTCTAGAGCTCCAAACATAAGTACCTAGCGCGTAATAATACAAATACACGGATAGTACAGGTGGAGAGAACCACGCCACGAGTTATATCTATTTCGAAGAAATAAATATATCATGGAATTTGATTCGGCTCCGATATCGCACGATCGCTGCGCTAAATGTTAGACAGCCTACCAAACAATAAATAATCATCCCACACGATTTCAATCAAAACAACATTCTATTAAAATTCCTAATCCACGTAATAATTTAGTCAATTTAGTTTGGAATGTTGCAATTTGCCCGCAATCGTAGTTTTTGCAATAAAAACTGATAGCGATCTCGCCATGACTTCTTGTGGGGACGTAAATCAGAAGTGCCGCCCTCTGGCGGAGGAAGGTTTAACATCATGTACCTGCATGTAACGGGACACATACAGTGTGTTCCACCTGTTGGACTGACAGTATACAATACTAAGTTTTCGTAATTGAAATTGTGACATTGTTGCACAATAGACGGTAACTTCTAAAGGAACCTCGCTTAACTAAAAATTACGAGTTACTCACGTAAATATACTGAGAAAAGCTCCACTAGTTTCGAACCACAGTAAAGGACTCATGAGCAGCGTGCGCGGTCGCGGCGAAGTCGCGAATATTTAGTCAATTCAGTGTAGCACGATAATTATTAAAAACAGGAACCTAGAGGTCTTTAAACATATTGTTTTTTTTTCTAAAATGCTTCTAGCTTCAAGCTTTTCGTGTCTTACTGAAAATATATAAATCGATATTTATGAATGAAATTGAGTCAGTCATCGTCTTTATTGCAAACACACCTAGAGAATTCCACTGTAAAACAATTTTATACATAGAAATAACTTGAAATAGTTACGTT